CTCAAACTTTTAGTTTGTGGGTGACTTTTTTTAGCAAGAAAATCGAATTAAAGTTTTTTCATTACTTAAGTATAAATATTCATCAATGACCCAGAAACATGAGGTCACAAAAAAGTTATAACCCTAATATATATTATATATATATATATATATATATATATATATATATATATATATATATATATATATATATATATATATATATATATATATATATATATATATATATATATATATATATATATATATATATATATATATATATATATATATATATATATATATATATATTGATTGTAAAATTTTCTCTACCTAGTGAAGATAATGAGCAGTTGAGACTCCCGACAGACTTTGAACTTTATTATAACAACTTTTTTCTGATGAGAAACAATAATGACTAATTTAAGTTATTTAAATAATCATAAATTTTAAAAATCTATATTAAATACGTTATTTTAAAAATACTTTTTTTACATCAATTAGAATTTTAAAAAATGCAGTACACTCTTAGACTTTTAACAGCATATATACCTCGCTTATCCAAACTTCACCTCATCTATAAGGATAAGGCCGCCGTTTCAACAAATACTTTAAAGCCATATTGGTCACTTTCAAGATGGCGGCGGAATGAATAATAAGATTTGAAACTTGACGATAACAAAGTTTTAAATCTTAGTCTTAAACAGTGATAAATGTATCAATTTAAAATATAAATATTTTTTAACATCACGCGTAATTTTTAAATTTAGCATTTTACGGAAATTTTGAATTCTTAGCAAACCGATGAAGTGTGCTAAAAAGATTATAGCTTTTATATATATATATATTATATATATATATATATATATATATATATATATATATATATATATATATATATATATATATATATATATATATATATATATATATATATATATATATACATATATATATATATATATATATATATATATATATATATATATATATATATATATATATATATATATATATCGATGCAATTAGTTAAGAAGATCCAGCGTTCAGCATTCTAAACTGGAAACAATATGTTATAAATAGAATGGGGGAAAAGTTGGTCAACTGATTAAACCTGTGTAACTCTTACAAGTGTGAGCATGAGTTTCATTGTGCTGGACTTTTTAGAACTCAAATCTTGATCCCGGTCTTGTAAAAACTTTCAAAGTTTTGGTCTTGGATTGATTTTTTGAAGTCTTGGTCTTGAAGCATTCAGTTTTGATCTTGGCCTTTACTGTCTTGACTTCATCTCTGATATCTCTTAGCTCAGAATGTCAAAGCATTTTATACCGACCCTTTCAACTATAAAGGTCAAAATATTAGTCTGATTAAGTTTATCAAAACAAATCATTAAAAAGAGAGGTCAACGCCACTGGTTTTTTAAGGTCTGAAACCCGTGACAATTCTGGAACTTTATTACGCGCCTCAAAAGAGTTGTTTATGTTGATTAGTTATGATGTTAGACGTTAGAGATGCACTGTATCAACATTAGTGATTGCCGTCGGCAGTTGTATGATAATGCCTACAATATGTGGGGTCTACACTGAGTTGCAAGCTCATTTAAAGGAGTTAAATCAATTAACTGAATATGTTCAATGCGCAGGTCATTCTTTGAAATTTTCTATAATTTTTGAAACATATGGCCTATAGAAACTCTATAGAATCTCTATAGAATGTCTATTAATCTCTATAGAAATTGCTTTAAGACTTTTTTTCTATAAAAAAAAAGTAGAAAAAAAAATTTGTATAGAAATTTTTATAAAATTTAAGGAAATTCTATAGAAATTCAATAGAATTTCTATAGGCCATATGTTTCAAAAGTTTATAGATCTGATTGATTTTTTTTTTCTGGGGTGTTAGATAGCTAAAGCAGCTGAGTCTTGTGTTCCAGCTTCTTTAGCTATCTTCAACAGCTTGATAACTTTTTTACTGCATTAATGCATCGTTCGGAAGTCTCGATATCAAATTTGGAACCTGGAAGTCTTGATATCAAAACTGGACTTCAAAAGTCTCTCACAGACAATATGGTTTGCATTTGCAGATACATACTCCTTTGACGTTTTGAAAGATATACTCTTTAAAATTTGTAAAGCCTCTATTGCTCAAGGATCCTTTCCAGACTCTCTAAAAGTAGCAAAAATTACTCTTATTTATAAATCAGGTGACCATTGTAACATTACAAATTATCGTCCTATTTCACTTTTTCCAGTTTTCTTTAAAATATTAGAAAGAATAGTGTATAACAGAGTCTACAATTATTTTGTTGATACTAAACTTTTATATAATAATCAATTCGGCCAGAGAAACTATTCTACTGAACACGCCATACTTCAACTAACACGCAGCATTTCTGATTCCTATAAAAATTTTCATTATACTCTAGGAGTATTCACCGAATTGTCTAAAGCTTTTGATACTGTCGATGACGACATTCTATTAAAAAAATTAAAACTCTATGGAATTAAAGATAAATCATTAAGCTGGTTCATAAACTATCTTAGTAACTGTAAACAGTTTGTTAATATCCAAGACTCTTCTTTGCCTTTATTAATGAATGTAACATGTGGTGTCCCACAGGGATCCACAGTTGGGCCCCAATTATTGTTAATATACATAAATGACCTCAACAAAGCCTCTAACTTAACCACTATAATTTTTGCTGATGACACAAACCTATTCCAGTCTCATGAAAAAATAAATATACTTTTTGATAATATGAAACAAAAATTAAATAAAATCTCATATAGGTTTAAGAAAAACAAATTGTCCTTCAATATTGATAAAACAAATTGAACACTTTTTTCCCCAATATCGAGAAAAATATGTTTACCTAATACACTGCCTGACCTCATCATTGTTAATACAATGGAAAAAGTTACAAAACTTCTCGGAGCTCTTGTAGACGAAAACTTATCCTGGAAACAACAAATCGATAATATTTCCTTGAAAGTTGTATATATAAAGTTTGACATATTTTAAATTAACAACAATCAACTATACATTCGTTTATCCACTGCCATTTAAATTATGCAAAAATTGTATGGGGAAGCGCGCACAAAACTAAACTTAAATCTCTTTATCAGCATCAAAAACACACAGCTCGCCTAATTAATTTTGTAAATCGTTTTTCAAATTCCAAACCACTTCTGAGAGAAATGAAAGCCTTAAATGTATACGAACTAAATGTTTATAATATTTTATGTTTCATGCTTAAATGTAAAAATCATTTATCTCCAGATGTATTTATAAATCTTTGCAATGTAAAAAACATAAACAAATACAATCTTCGCAATGGAAAAAATCTACAAGAACCTTTCTGCTAAACTAAATTTGAACAACTAATTATTTCTTTTCGCGGTCCTTATTTATGGAAAATAGTTTTTCTATAAAAAATTAATAGACATTCTATAGAAATTCTATATAATTTTTATAGGCCATGTTTCAAAAGTTTTTAGAAATTCTATAGAACTTTTTTTCCTGGATAGTAGAAGCTATTATAATTTACAGGATCAGCTGACGACAGTCGTTATGAAAATCATTTGATTCATTATTATAGAAAGACTCAATCATTTGAACAAAACGCTTTAAGTCGTTCAAGTCGTTTTTTGTTGCTAGATTCCAATCATCGCATTTTTTGCAAAGGATCCTTATTTGACATAAGTATAAACATATAAATGTTTGGAGCTTATTCCATGTGTGGAGGTTAGCTATCTCAAACATCAAAAAATGCTGGATCCGCACATGATATAGAGGTATTTTAAATTTTAAAATATAATAGTATAAATATAACTTGTAAAGTTTAAAATTGTAATATATATATGTATATGTGTGTGTGTGTATATATATATATATATATATATATATATATATATATATATATATATATATATATATATATATATATATATATATATATATATACAGTCGTGTGCAGTAAAATAGTAGTGCGTATTTTATTTTTCTATCAACAAACTTTGAACATCAAAGTATATTTTTCTATTGTTTGTTTTTTATCGTTATTGTTCATAAACTAAATGTTGTGATTATAATAGTATAAAAAAAATTTAAGAAAGATAATTGCAGCACTGTCTGGTTTTAAATTTTTAATATTATCGATAGAAGGTCATTCGTATTTTTTTTTTAGACTGCGCAATAAAATACTAGTGAAAAATTAATTTTTGTCTAAAAATTGCTGTACTTATTAAATTCTAATTATTATTAGTTCTTAATAATAAGCTATAAGGAAGTAATTAATTTTGATATTAGATAAATTTATACACTAACTAAAATTTTGAAATTTTACAGAAACATGGGGCACTCTAAGCATTGTACTGAAGAAGTTCATAATTTAATTATAAATTTTAAAAATCATGGTAAAATCTACAAACAAATACAAGAACTGGTTGGATGCTCACCAACAATGATTTGTAATGCTTTAAAATGGAAACCCAAACCAGAAAAACATGGAAATAAAAGATCATCTACCGCTATAGGACATCGTCAAATTGTATTGTTAGCGAAAAAGGAACCATTTATTATTTTTAGAAAAATTAAAGAAAGGCTAGAATTAAATGCTAATACCTCGACTATTCGAAGACGATTAATACATGTCGATTTAAATGCAAGAACACCTAGAAAAGTGCAACTTTAGAATAAAAGATATATCGAAAATTGTTTAAAATTTGCACGTATGTATGCTTCTTGGCCTAAAGAAAAATGGCGAAACATTTTGTGGACTGATGAAAGCAAAGTTGAAACTTTTGGTTCCCATGTTCGTAAACAGTATGTTAGAAGACCAACAGGTGCAGCATATAAACCACAATTTACATTAAAGACCGTCAAACATGGAGGTTCAAAAATAATGATATAGGGTTATTTTTCTTACTATGGTGTTGGGCCTATACACCGCATAGAAGGTATGATGAATTGGTTTGTATATGTAAAAATACTTAAAGACATCATGCTGTCTTATGCTGAATAAATGCCGTTGAAATTTTTGTTCCAGCAGGATAATGATCCTAAACATACGAGCAAGTTAGCCAAATCGTGGTTTAATGAGAACAAAATCAATGTGATGGAGTGACCAGCACAATCCCCCGACCTCAATCTGATTAAAAACTTGTGGATTAATGTTAAACAAGCAGTTTCTGAAAATAATCCAAGAGGTTGTAATCAATTGTGGGACGTAGTACAGTCAGCATGGCAAAATATATCTGTCAAACGATGTCAGAATCTTGTTAATTCCATGTAATGAAGGTGCTTGGCGGTTATTACAAATAAAGGTCATGTAACAAAATACTAATGTAAAGCTTCAAAAAAAAATTTTTTTTTGTAATAAAATTTAATTTTGTTTTGACCTTTCCATAAAAAATAATTTTTACTACTATTTTATTGCACAGTCTAAAAAAAAATACGAATGACCTTCAATCGATAATATTGAAATTTAAAACCATACAGTGCTGCAATTATCTTTCTTAATTTTTTTTT